AGTTGAGTGATGGCACGGATGGCGGTTGGGGCCATAAAGTCTTCCAGCACGCACCACCGCGCCTCTAGGGAATACCTGTATCAACCCTTCCAACATAACGCACAGCACGACTTTTCACTCCAACCACTCTCGATCATCATGACTAACACTACTAGAGCCAACGAAACGGGTCTCCTGACACGATGGGTCCCAGACAGACTCAAGCATTCACGGCCCTACCGCTGGTTCCTCCGCCTCACCCGTGTCCTTCAATTTCTCTCTTCGGTCATCTCCCTGGGCATCTTCTCCCAGCGCATGTACAAAGTATACCGTCTGGTCAACTCCATCAAAACTCGCCGCGGAGTCAACACTGCCGTCGGGGCCGTCGAGGGCATTCTCGCTGCTGCCGTCCTATATACCCTCATCACAACCGTCATGTCACTGCTTCTGAAAGGTGGTGGTCCTCGGTGGCTGCGTTGGCTTTGGGTTCTTTTTGACATGTTATTCGTTGGTGCCTTCATTGCGGTTGCTGTTCTCACATCGCCAAATGGAGGAATGGCTGGACCAAGGCATTGCTATAACGACAGATCTGCCACGGACACGGCGAATGTGACTGGCGAGACAGCTACTGGTGATGATAGCTGCGACCTGCCCTGGGGAACATTTATTTTGGCTATCGTTAGCACGTGAGTGATCCCTAAACGGATGTGGAGTTCCAGAACATTAACAATTGTGAATCAGAGTTTTGCATGCTATCACAGCTGCTTTCCACGAGGTGCGCGATATGTACAAGAAGCACTACAAGACCGGAAGTGGCGAGCACGCCATTGCAAACCATCACCAGCAAATGAGGCACGCTGACGGTGTGAATTATGGACCTGGTGTCGCAAATGAGCATCAACAACCACACATGGGGTACAGCAATGGGGCGCATGGTACTAGGGTGTAATGTAGACCCGGAAGGGTGGTGCGGCTCGAGGAGGGATGTGGTTTCGTGGCTCCGTCAACAAGAAGGATGCCAGTGTCCAATGTGCAAGTGTATATCTACCTAGTTGATTTATCCTCATCGAAGAGTTCCCTCAGGTAACATCATTGCTTCGGCTCTTGTCACATTCCAGGTTGTCCCATGTGACAGGGGCGGTGTTCGGCCGGGTGCGTTGCATCTGCAACCCAATAGCAAGCTTGCCAATGTAAATGTGAGCTTTTCTTTTTTGGGGTGCCATCACAAGACAACCTTGGTATCAGGCGCATGGCTTCCCGGTGACCCCCCCAACAATTGCTCTCCATACCCGCTTGGGGCATCACCCACCCGGATTTGGATCAAGACAGGTGGCCCTCAAGCTATAAAGCATTCAAATTGCAGGTAATTTGATAGACTCTACCAAGTACCACTTCTGAGCTTCCTTCTTGTCAAGATATCTACACCCTAAAGTATGGCGCAAACACCGCAGCTATGCGCAGCTGCATCATACAGCAAACCTCTCATCTTGCAAGCAGCAGACGCCTGTCGTCGTTGTATCCGCGACTTGGATTTTGCAGGGACTGATGGCCCGGATCTGCGAGAGGCTAGCTATCGTATGTATTCATATCTCGTTTTCCATCTCTCTTGCCTTTTCCCGTTCACTAAACACGCCCCATGAATGCAGTTCTAGAAGACATTAGCCTACAACTCCGCGTTCTGGGGCTCTACCACGATCAATACTTTCACAATCCACAATGGAATCACAATGTAACTGCCGGCTGTCTCAGTTCGCTGATTGATGAATTCAATGCTATGACTCTAAGCAACTTCTATGAGATCCAGGGTAAGGGGTTGAAGGGGTTCAAAAGACGGGTGAGAGGCGGGCTTTGCGCTTTGAAAGAGCAAACAAGAAAATTGGACAAGACACTCAGGCTTCTTGCAGGGTGGGTGAAGACGTTATAAATACTGTTAAAACACAATCACCGACCTCAAGCTAATAATCAGCGATCAGACCTGAAGAGGATGGAGGGTTTCCGCTGCCGCGCACGGAGATTTCGGATCATGTGCTTGCTGATGGGCTAACTTTACTGGCCATTGGTATGTTGTGCCCCCTGCCTTCTGTAAGCTAGGAGAATGTATGCTGAAGATTGGGGCTACAGACGGTGGAGGTGTGCGAGGGCTGGTCAGTCTACGGATTTTGAAAGCTATTATGGACAATATCAATAGAGCAAACGGAACAGGCAAGGCGAAGACACCGGCGGAGTGTTTTAAACTCGCCGGAGGAACAAGTGCAGGGGGTTTGATATGCATTATGCTCTTTCGTCTAGTGAGTTTACTGCCTAGGTATGTGGTGCAGTGGCGTGGGTGTCTCTAATCACAAACAACATAGGGAATGTCGATTGATGAAGCGTTAACGTCCTACAAAGAATTGTCGCAAACCATGTTTCAGCCGAGCTTCATCTCCAAATGCCTCGGAGGAGCCTACATCAGAACCATGCTTGGCCTATCTTGGTATGAGGGCTCGTTGCTCGAGGATGTAATACGAGAAAAGGTTGTTGCCCAGGGGCTGGATCAAAATGCAACTTTGCTTAACCATGGCTCTGGGCAGGAAACAGAAGGGTGTCAAGTGTAATTGCTCTCTTGCTTTCCTCCGAGTAATAGACATCCTGCTGACGAGAGAAGCTTTGTTACTTCCGTCAGGTCAAGAGACAACTTTGCCGTTCGCTTTCGCTCATATAAACTCCCGGATGGTTCGCTCCCACCATACAACACAGCCACAATCGTCCAGGCCGCCCGTGCGACATCGGCGGCGCCTTTTTATTTCCCTCCAGCGACGGTAGGCAAAACAGAATTCTGGGACGGTGCACTGGCAAACAACAATCCTGTCGATGAGCTCTGGGCAGAGAAAAGCCTGGTATTCTCCTGTTGGACGAAAGGGCCGGCAAATAAGCCAGCAGCCAAATGTGTGCTGAGTCTGGGAACAGGAAGGGTTGACCCTTCGCGAAAGAAACGGAGTTGGATTGCGTCACATCCGGCCATCTCCAAGGGAGCACAGCTGTTGGAAAGCCTGACCAATGTCGAAAACGTGCATCGCAGATTCGACCAGCTGATGAGGGCCGAGGGAGTGTGGTACTTCCGGTTCAACCCGCCCACGACAGAGGATGTCGATTTGGCCGAGTACAGGGAGGAAAGGTTGGCTGGGTTGGAGGCAGACGTGGAGCGGTATCTGAAGAGGCCCCATATTATTGTCATGGTGAGGCTATGTGCTCAGTTGTTGCGTTGAAGTTGCACCTGGAAGTTGGGTGCGACCAACTGCTTCATGATCGGCAGAGATGCTGCTCCTTCCCACTTCCTTGTCAAACGCGCCCTTCCACGTCACTGGTTGACCCGGTAGGCACTCTATTGATTCAACAAGGCTCTCAAACAGCTCGAGGAGAACAAAACAACCATCATAGCGCAGCTTGACTCAACATGGATGCAGACATCAAGCCCTTCAACATCAGCATCTCGGATGCGAAAATCGCCCACCTGCGCCAAAAGCTGGAGCATGCCACTTTTCTTCATGAGATGCCCTTATCCGATAGCTGGTCTTATGGCGTTCGCCTCAGCGATATCAAGCGACTGGTCAAGTAAGGTACTGGAAGGACGGGTTCAACTGGCGACAGCAAGCGACAGCACTCAACCGCGATTTGCCCCAGTACACAACAATAATATACGTCGACGGCTTCGACCCGCTCAAGATAGGCATAGTTGGTTCACAAGAAAGGCAGTCGCCCGGACGCCATTCCCCTCTTGTTTTGTCACGGATGTGAGTTGATTGTATCGGCAGCACGCGCCGGGTACGGTCGGCCAAGATTCTCCCCCTCTTGACCAGTCGTCCCAACAGCCAATATCAACCCTGCTTTGACGTCGTCGCTCCATCTCTGCCCAACTTCAGCTTCTCACTTGGCCGTCTAAGCCAGGATTTGCGCTCGAGCAGTACGCTGAGTCTTGTCACAAGCTAATTCTCAAGCTTGGGTACCTATTCGAACTATGGTGTGTCCCACGTCTTTGCTTTTCTCTTCCCATGTATAAGTTCTGACAGCCGTCTCGTAGTCACACAAGGAGGAGACTGGGGGTACGGCATCACGCGTTTTATGGGCATCAGATACGGCCCTATGTCGTCGTCCGCGACCGACGATTCCGGAGCCGTATTGGCCAGTCACATTAATCACAACCTGGGCGTTCCTCCTTCCATCAGTGTTATTCCACGACACGGGCCCCTCTAGTAACTTGAGTATCTGACTTCAAAATACAACAAGCAAGAAAAAGCAGGCTTGGCCCGAACAGACCGGTTCTGGGAAGAGGGTGCCGCCTACAACCGCCTCCACTGTCACAACCTAACCACGATTGGCATCGCTCTGAGAGACTCGCCCGTTGTCTTGTTGTCGTGGATCTACGGGAAGCTCCACGACTGGACAGACGACGAGATTCTTACCCGAATCAGCATCTACCAGTTTTCTGATGCAGGACCCGAAGCTGGCTGCCGCGTTTATTACGAGAATGCACACTTAGCCTCTGCCAAACAAGTTGAGGAATGCTATCCGGGGGCGAAGGTGGGTGTTTCAACCTTTCCACAGGACTTTTTGATGTCCCTTGGCCACTGTCAAACCCTGGGGTCGCTGGTGTTTGAGAAGTGGCATGACTAAGGAGGCCATTTTGCTGCTTGGGAAGTTCCGGAACTGCTGGTCGAGGATATGCGGGTGATGTTTGGAAGTCTGATCAATAATGGGCTGTTGGAGTTTGCTGGCCAAAAATAAGGCAACGGAGCAGGACGCTGCTGATATTACGTCTTCCTAAAGAGAGCCATGAGTTAATTAACAAACCAGAAGTCCCCTGCCGTGTGTGACTTCTTGACGATACCCTGCCGCTTTCCAGTCTCCACGCATACCTACCCAACTCCACCCGCCTCCACTTCCAAAACCCTAACTTGACGTGAATCCGTGATTCATGCCTGCTCCCAGCAGCAACTTGACACAAGAACCCCGGTTCCTTGCCGTTTTATCAATAATTCCTACCAGGTCAGATGGCCGAGCGGTCTAAGGCGCCACGTTAAGGTATCAAGCCTTGATTTCAACTCCACAAAAGAGTTCCGTGGTCTCGTAAGGGGCGTGAGTTCGAATCTCACTCTGATCATTTTGCACTTTGCATCGTCTTGCATGTCCTTTGAGGGTTCCTTTTTTTGCCCCCTTCATACCTGTTAGGCTTTGAAATGCTGGGTATGATGGAATGCTTGACAGAAATACATCTAGGTCTTGTGATGATTGATTCAAGGCCGTTAAAAGAAACTTCATCGGAGGTACCTAGTGTAATAGACTGTGTGGTGCAGTGTTTCTCATCTCTGTTGCCTGGGCAACTGTCAGGGGCTCAGGGGTTAGCTTGCGGTGAGCAATACAGCATGACTGACAGCCATGGTTGCTTGAATACAACCAAGGTATCTCTGATACACATCATTATGACGAAATTAATGTAATAATGATTGTGACTGAGTCTCAGGTCTGTGACATGATGGCTAGGACCTCTGTTCATGGCCAAGGAATCACATCCAGGTTGGTTATACAGTTCAGTACAGTGTCTCCTGAGCAGAAGATACATTGACTTGACCAGCTTAGTTCTAGCATGTCTCAATCGTACAAAATTGCCGGCAACCGTTTAGGTTGTTGTTGATCGGCTTTGTGATCAACATCCGCCACCGTAGGTATGCATATGCACGCCAAATTGACAGGGACCCTGAATTCCACTGATAACGTTAAGGGTCCACCAATGATCGGAGCTATGACATGTTCCAAATGTGCGATGAAATAATCAAAGAGTAAGATCAGCATCCGTATTGTTGTGCCGTCTGATCATTGACCACACAACCCTCGCGATAACAGGATTGTCAGGGACTCGGGAGCCTGTGAGTCGCACGACCGGGTTCAATCAAGTGGCCGCCAAGGTCGAGGAGGCTCGGTGAGATCATATACCAGACGTAGCATGCCACGAAAGAGAGAAGATCGTCGTTCGTATGAAGACCAACATACCACCATGGTTTGTTTGGCGTTGTCGAAAGCCGTTGTTGAATCTAGTATTGACAAGAGATAAACGACTCGGCGCTCATGACTTGCCAGTAGAATTTCCCCAACGCTGGGTATGATGTTTGCGGAACAGAGCCCAGACACGCCATGTGCAGCGATCACCATCAAGGATGGGCGGTCTGCAATATCTGTGGCAGTTTGATACATCATCACAAAGACCTAGAGCCTTCGATTCCTTTCCAGACTTCCGAACTCCGTCACCGACACCTAACTACAGCATACTCGATGAAACACGATGCACTGGGACAATAGTTTGGGAGCAAGTCAACCTGGAAGCTGTGTCTTTTCCACACCCCCAGGACGAAGGTACTGGATACATGCCCTTTAACAAGGAGGAAATGTGTCCTCAAGGCAGCTCCTACAAGTCCAGAAGGGCAGGGCACACCGGTTTGGGCCGCATCAACAAACCCGTTGCATACTGCTAACTAGGTAGCTGCCGATCATAAACGAGAAGCCATCACAGCATTTCCCAGGGACTCCACTTATCTTCCACATGCATCTGCCGAGTACCGATCAGAACTGAGGAGTGCGGCCTTGCCCGTCATTACAACTGTAGGCTTTGTTCACTTACCTTTCTTTGAGCTTGTACAACCTATAATTTTTTGATTATTGTTCCGGGGCTTCTGGATTGCGCTGATCCTGTCTGTGCGCCCCCAAGCCATCCCACCAAGTTGTCCCGACACAACCCTCTTATCTGCAGACATGCTGACCGGTAATACCATCTAGACCACCCCAGAACACGGTTTAAGTTGAGATGTTTGTGGGTTTCCCTTCGCATCAGTGACCCTGCGTGCCCTGTTACACATAATCCCCATTACATGTCCTAGCTCTGGGTGCTTCAACGGTTAAACCCACATATCCAGGACCGTGCATGGTAACACGCTCGAGCTAGCAGCAATACCCATTACTCACGCGATCCACCCTGGAGGAACTCTAGAGTACGTGAATGCCAGGAATCAGTATAACTCGCAAAGCATTACACTGGCCTCGGGGGGGGGGGGGGGGGGGGGGGCGGGCGCGGGGGGGCGGGGGGGGGGGGGGGCGGGGGGGGGGGGGGGGCT